TAATGTAACATCAACAGCTTCAATAAATGCTCTGATGAAATGATAAGTAATGCAACAGTAATAATAATGGTTATGAATAGTAACAGTAAAATAATATTCTAATCTCCACAGCGTTCAAGGTGCCTGTGTAACAGAGGAATAACCAGCTGCTATTACTGTACAGTCCTTATGTTGTTGATCCAGCAGTTGACAGTCTTTCTGTTGTGTCATGGCAATGAAGTAGTAAATGCTAATGTTATCTTTTGTCTTAGCATTATTAATGTGCTATAAAACGCTGAAATATGGCCGTTATCTTTTGAGTGGCTGATGATTTGGAAGTGCTGAGAACAATTTCAGACGTGTTTACCTGAGACCTGGATCATAGCAGCATCTGAGCTTCTCACCACGAATCTGCTGGTTCAACAGTAAAGTGAATTTCTGACCTTTCTCAGGGCCCTGACGTTGCATGGCCTCCTTCCAGCCCAAGCGTCACATCACCAGCTAAGAGAGAGGACGTCATCAACAAGGGTTTCGAGTGCTTCCTCAGCGTGCTCAACAAAGGAGTCGACATCAACTTGCTCAAACCTGAGGATGACTGTGGCGAGGTTGTACAGTCGATGCTTTTCTGCTTTTTCTTTGTATTTCAACCACACCATACCTCCACTTACATGCAGTATTATATGAATGAATCATAAAATAAGAAGAAGCTTTGATCAACATGAGAATGCTTTACTTTTCTACTCTTCTCTGAGTAATGACACAGTAATCTCTTTTTTCCTTCTCAGGTCCCTGGTGTGTCACTGCCACCTCTCGGCCGAAGCATTTCTTCACCAGCAAAGGATGAAAATAATGTCAACAAGGGTTTTGAGCGCTTCCTCAGCATCCTCAACAAAGGCGTGGACATCGAAATGTTTAACAAGATTATGAGCAATGATAGAGACGATCTTCCTTTAGGTGAGGAGCCCCTGAACATTCAGATCCCTGACATGGAGAGCAAATCAGATCCACCCTTTAGGACTGAGAAGCAACAGCTGAATAGTGGAGCTTCGCTGCTGGGCCTCAGACAGCCCAGTGAAAGTATACTCAGCATGGACAATGACATTGAGCCGAGCCGAACCCAGAGAAACGAAAGCCAACGGTTGTTTAGTGGTGCCTCACTGCAAGGTCTCAGCCCACCCAGTGAAAACCAGTGCTCACACAGTAGAGCCATTCTGTTACTCAACCAGGCCAGTGAAAGCCAACAGCTAAATACCGGAGCCTCACTGTCAGGCTTCAGCCTA